CTCTTGATCAGACGAAATTTAATAACAACAACATATATTTAGTCAAAAACTGTATTGACTAATTTAAATGTCACAAAATATAATAAGACAACTTATCAATATTTTGTATCAATGTACAAATTACAAAATAAAGTACTGTAATAGTATTGGTACCTATCCTCCCTATATGTACAACAAGTATAACACCAATATGGCAATATGCCATAATAGGCAATTGATATAAATTGTTACAATTTGTACTATTATATATAACAACGTACGTTTGTAGTAACTATCTTGTTGAGATTATGTTACATAATAGTATAATACTATATAGTAAATATTTTAATACGATCATAAACTTATTTACATCATTAAGTGCAACAAAAAGTATAAACTGAAATTATTTTAGTCAGTACTCTGCAGAAGGCACCTATTAATTGTAAATGTGTAACGTTGATATGTTTAATAATTAATTCAATAATAATTAATTAATATTAACGTGAATCAATCGATAAATGTCTCTAAACAGTAAATATTTGCATAACATATAAAAATCAGATTCTTCCTTGTACAAACATGTAAAATAACATTAGAAAATCTACAATGACCCCTGCTGTCGAAGCTCGAAATTAATAATAATATTTTTAAAAAACCCATCAAAATCAATAATTTAAAAACTATAATAAAATTCGTTTACAATTTTGTTTATTAATTATTATATATTATGACATATTAATTATAATAGCATTAGGTACACAAGTATTGAAGTATTTAAGTATTTAATTTTTATGTACTTATGTAAGTATAATACTTAATATATAAGTATAATACTTATATACTTTACATATTATTAATTACTTACCTACTGTACTTATTTTACAATTATATAATTAATATAAGTGTATAGATATCGATTACCTACAGGGGCGTAATCAGGGCAGATCCCCCCCAGAGCCTTCATAATATTATATATTATATTATATACTCACCAATTTACTTGGAAATTTAATATTTTGTGTGTAAAAAAATGTATACCCCCCCCCCCCAGGACAAATTCCTAATTACGCCACTGATTACCTATATAGGTATTATAATAAAATAAACAACAACTGGACGTTTTAATATAATCACCCTGTACAGTATAATAATATATAATATTATAAGTGTATGATATATAGCTTAATACATAGAGGTGCTATATAGGTAGGTATTTGTCAATATGTGTTCTGGTGTTCACATACGTATATTTTATAGGTAATAATAATAATAATAATAATAATATACAATCTTCAATATTTATTTATAATTCGTCATTAATCATTATACAAGTGTTTCACGTTTCACTGTCCGACTTTTTTCCCGTGTTAAAAATATAATGATTTATATAATTTACATTGCGATCGTTAAAAATAAAATTGAATTACCGCGTGCACGTTTTCCAACTAGTCTTGGGGTGATCCAGACTTTTGGTTAAAGTTCGTGTACATTGCTTTTATAGTTAATAGTTTCAAAACAGTTCGACACGAACGGTATAGTAATATTTTCTAATATAATATATTAATAACACTTGTTTGAAAATGTATCAAAATTATTTTATCGTATCTATTAGTTATTACACAACACGGTACACACACACACACACTATATTATACAGCATCCAACTTCCATAATCTTTACATATTATGTGTAGTTGTATGTATTATACAAAAAATATTGTAACATTATTCGAACCTCAACAATTATTTTAAACACTTATAATAATAATACTTTATCACCAGTTACCACTTATAAAACTAATAATAATAAACATTATACCTACTGCCTAAAATGCGTTTATATTCTCTTATCGAATGTATTCATCAGAATATTATGTTGACGATTGTTATTTACATATCGAATAACCATCGGCGAACCTGTGCATATATATATATACACATAATATATACATCACACACACCTGTGGGATATACCGATGGAGGGACCTGGAGTCAACGATTCGAGTATACATATATTATTATATCCTATCTAAAAACATATTATTCGTTGTTTTTTTTTTCCTAATATGTATTTTTTTTTCATTTTTCGCCAATGGCGTTCGAATTTTTTAACCACGGAATTATTAATGAAAACACAACGCACCATCGGTATATATAGTGATCGTTACTTTTGATTATTGTTTTACAAATAGGTTTGGCGATTTCGGTCGCGATCGAATGTTTTCGAATAAATTGTTTATGAAAAAACATAAATAATTACATTATTTATTATTATTTCATGTGGTCGAGCGTGTGTTATTTTTTATTATTATTATTTTTATTTTTTTTATTCACAAATGCATCAACGGCACATTTGTCAACAGCGTCTGTCTTTTATCGCGCATTGAAAAATATTAAACAATAACAATTATTCCTGACGTGTGGGAGGGATGGAGAGGGGGAACACGGCATACACGGCCACTGTGTAAATCGTTATCGTGAATAGATTAAATAACAATTTATTACGTTTGTTGTATGTAGTAGTAAAAATAATAATAATAATAATAGTAATAATAATAAAATAAAATAAAACCCCACGTCTATATTATTATAACGACTATAAATTGGATATTGCACTGGTGTTGTTATGAATTATTGTTACTATAATAATAATTAATATTGATGGAAAGTCATATGGTATTTTAATAAAAGGCATATAGTATTAATTTCATTTTGTACTTTTCCCTTCATAGTTTGTTATTATATAAAACATTTAAAAAACATAATATCGCATAAAAAAAAAATAAGAAATAAATGCACAATACATTTCTGTATTTTATTAGAATCAGATGCTACAATAGATATATTTTAATTTATTTTTCCAGAATAGCCGGGTAGTCCTACAAGTGTTTGACCAATCGGACGGCATCTTAGAGACTGCAGCTTGGTATCGGTAAGTTTCGATATTATATTTTTCAACGGACATACACTATCATACAGACAACACAAAATTTAAAAAAATTTTAATAAAAAATTAATTTTATCTTTCTGAAGTTAATATTCTGTAGTCTTTTTCTATCTCTCTATCTCTATTTCTATCCCTCTCTCTCTTTCTTTGTCTGTCTCTCTCGCATACACGCACATGCACACTTTCTTGAATAAGTTTAAATAATACCAATGTGCAAGCAAATGTGTTTAATCCGCTTTAGAGCGATACGTAATTCAATAACCTAAAAATGCTCAATACATTGTTTGTTTCCACTAAATATTAGTATTGGATTAAATATGCAGCATAAACAATAAATATTAACAGTTCTAAAAGAAAACAACTTAACGTTACCATATCTTATCTTTAATAGGGCGGGGTAAACTTGACAACTGATTGATGACAATCCAAACCTTTTTATTGTGTAATATTTATAAAACTTTAATGAAATCATACCATTTATTTCGCCACCTAGCACTTAGCTATTACACGCGTATATTATGCATTAAACAGTTTGGGAAAAAAACAACTGACCGAATTTTAACATATTTATTCATTTCAATGTAACATACTAACATGTAAACTATTATAACTCAAGTATGTGATTAACTTACGGATTTTAGAATCATTTACCGTCTCGAGAGCAATCTTAATCAACATTATAATTTTAAAAATACACTTAATTATATTTATATATAATAATGTGAAGTATTTCGATAAATATTGAATTAATTTTATTGTGTAGCAAAATATTATTATTAATCATTATTGGATTTTCTATTTATTTTTTTAAAAAAAATATAATATATTTTGTTTTGTTAATATTTCATTGCATTTTAGTTTCTGATCGAAGCAATGAATAATAGATAGGTATATGGCAATGGTTTTACGATTTAGTATTTTTTTGTGTCCGAAGGTTACTGATACTTTTTATACCAGAAACAATATGATTTAATATTTTAATGTACACTATTTTGGGTGGTTCTTTGTAGCTAATTAAATCTAGTATATTATACTTTAAGTTTTAAGATATCAAACAATTTCTCAGTACTTACTTATTTATCAAACAATCAATAAAAAAGTGTTTCTCCATTATATTCAATATTGAACTGAAGACTCAAAAATGTATATTGCAGTGGCGTACCGTAGGAGGGGGAACAGGGACATCCCCCTCCCGATAAGTTTTTTTAGCATAAGTCATAATATATTTTAACTTTGCTTTGGATTTTAAATAGTTCTAAGGTAAGGTATTTAATAACCCCTCCCCCCACGGCACCACCATCGAAAATTGTTTACAGGTTCTCCACTGCTCTATTTATTGTAGTAATTGCTCACTATGGCATTAAATCTCAATTTATTTTTAAATTTCATCTTAAAATATAAAACATAATCATTATTCATTAACCAGAATTATTGTAAATGCTGGTGTTCGGGAGGGTACAGATATTATTTTGTTGATAATTATTAATTAATTTAAAGACTAGAAATATTATGTATGATTATTTGAAAACAAAGTATTCTTCTCGCGGTTATTAAGAAATGGCGTTTTAGTGTATAACTTGTATTTCGTATAGATACCTACTTCACATTTTCACAACATTGATACGGAGTATGAATGTAGATATATTTATAAACCGTAATTAATATTCTCAATAAATATTATGTGACAGCTGGTATGTACTTGAAAAGATATTTACTTTTCATTATCAATCCTCTATACCTGCTTAAAATGATGTCCGATGAAAAATGCTTGCCATTGAATATACCTAAATTAACCTATATTATAAGTTATAACCAACGGGAGCATATTTTGCAGGGCATATTATATTATAACATCAGACGTCGATTAATTTTAAATTTACACTCGCACTACGATCAATATAATATTATATGGTTCTGATCATTCTGGAATGTCACTCTATGCAGTTGTCACTCGTACAACATTATTATTTAAAATTGTCGATCAAATCTGTAGTAGTTGATCACGTAATCACATCCGATGACTGTGATGACGCTGACGACGAGTATTACTGACGCCGCGTATATAATTGTTGCAGATGAACCGTGGGGGCCAACCCCATTCACCGGAACAGCCAAGCCACACCTCAGCCGCAGTGGACAGCATGAAGAACGAAGAGCCGACCATACCTAGTCATCACCAGCAGCGGAACATGCTGGCCGAGGCGATAGCGTCGCTGCCACCCGTGCCCCAGAACTTGTCGGCCATCGCCCTTTTCCATCAGCTGCCCATACTGTACCAGCAACACTACCAGCACATGTTGCAATCTCGCATCCTGCCCTACCTACAAGAATCACTGAGGTTGCAGAGCTCCGTCAACTTTGCGGATAAACCTCAGATGCCGACGGTAATATTCTACATTAATATGTTCTTGTTAACTGACCCATACACGACTGACTTTGTTTAGGTCCGTATGCATAGTCGGTGTGTGTGTCACATAAGACGTCATCTTAAACTATGTCGTATGTGACACGCCTAAATTTACTATGCATGCGAACAGTATGACAGCATGTTTTTATATGTTGATATTGATCATTTTGAAGTTTAACAATGTAATATCATACCCGCACCATCATGCAAGCCTTTCTGCAGTGCATCACTCTTCGCCTTGGTCCTGGTGGCCTGGTAACCAATAACTATAGGCGTAAAGATATAAGAATTGAAACTGCTGCAGTATCCGCTGACCTGATCAGCTAACCAACAGTTGCAATAGCTGGTGCGCCTGGTTAATGGTTTTACTATAAAAACTCCAACACCATCCAATTTCGCTAATCTCACATCTATCCCCACATATCCACACTGTGTTAGTCTAATGTTACTTCAAAAGAACGTGGCGCCGTGACCTCCTAAATTAATACTGGTATGATTAGTCAAACAAATTCTGTCCTAAAGGGTTCCATCAATATGGATGGGTGGATGACTTCCCTCATCATGTGTTCTTCTCTCTAAATAATTATTTAATTATCATATTTATTTATTGTTTTTAAACTTAAAATTTTAAAATACAGATTCTAAAAAAAAAAAAAAAAAAATGACTGTGGTTTTGGTAATAATATTTACGTATATTAGAATAATGTACTTACATTAATAATAATTGATAGATCATAATGATTTTTAGGTTTTTTACTCGCATATTATTCTAGATACGATTAGGAGTAATAAGACTACGTAGGAAACATGCTTACAGTGATAACTATACAGTATACAATAATGAATATATAATACATTTTTATTTTGTATTCACATGAAATGTTAGTCAAACATTTTCCTAAATGATTTAGAGTTTTAAACCAATTTTATGGTCAGTGTCCACTGTCCAGAGATAAAATAGTTTTTTATTTCTCAGTTAGGATTTATTTATGTAAACAATTTACACATATGTAACGACTTCTTTTTTTTATTTTCGTATGGCACTATATATGCCCGGGAGTAGGACTGAAGGCCTAGTTCAGACGCCTATTTGGGCACCCGTAGGTTTTTGAAATGCTAGGTTGGGGGATGCAGACAGTTGCCTGCCCAGAGAGCGATGCCGCCCGTGGCCGAGATTCGAACCGGCGACGGCGAGCGTTACAACCAACGCCGTAGTCAGCTCGCCCACTCCGTCCCTCATATAACGACTACTCATAGGACTTTTAAGACTTTATTGATGCATACATTTATAAAAATGTAGAGTACTTATGTCCACGTTCTGCACGTCTTATTGATCGTAACGTGTTGAGTGCATCATATACGCATATAGGTAATATAATACTATTTAAGATAATTAAAAACAATTAAAAATAAGGTTTTTTTTTAATATACGGTTACTAATCCTATAGGTATAGTAATAAATCCTTCTAATAAGTAAACTAAAAAAAAACGTAATACCTACCTAATTAATAATATCTATAATGTTGTAATAAAACGTATTACAATTAAAGTTTAGATTCTGAGCGGAGCGATGAATGTATTGATTTTACAAAGATGTGTGTTGTATTTATTTTTATTTTTATTATTTTTTGTGTTTGTGTACACGATAAGTAGTCGAATGAATGCTTCGATTCTCAACTTCAGTACCTTGTTCAATGGGAAAATGAATCTAGTTGGTGCATTGAATTTCCCAGTAGTTTTCAAAACTGTAGGGGAAAATAAAAATTAAGGAAAAATGGGAATTTTTACTCAAAATTGGTTTTCAACAAAATCGATTTTCAGGTTTTTGGTTACCCTCTAAAACAAATGACCGTAGATACTTGAAATTTTCACTGAATATTTATATAAGCAATTTTTATACATCATACAAATTTTAAAATATATTGACTTGTTTTGAGCTATTTACAGACATTTTCAGTTTCAAATTTTTTTATTTCTATGAATGTCAATAAAATTTTATCCGTTGAGTCAAAAAGCTTGAAAATTTAATACGAGGCTTCTTTAATGTATTGTTACAATGATAGTTGAAAAATATTAAAATTACATGATCACAATTTTTTTTTTTATAAGTACCTATTTAAAGTTCGAATTTTTACAAAAGGCGTAATCCTGAAAATGTGCAAATTATTTTGAGTTAGAAGTTCATAGAAATATTTCTAAATTTAAATATAAATCCAAGATTTTAAAATGTAATACAAGATTCCTCATAAGCAGTTTGTCTACATACCTCTATTAAAAAAAATGTCTACAAGAAAGTAAAATGATATCATTGAATTAAAATTTAATACCAACCATTATACAGTGACCCTGCACTTGTAACTATACAGAAGAGCGACATCCACTTACCCACCTTTTTTTATAGTTATTTTATGCTCAAATTTGGACGCAATTACATAATATATTAAGTATAACCAAGAATTATGATTTTAGTTATTTTGTTGTAATTCAAAAATATTATTCGGGGGTACTTGAAATTTCTCAAGTATATTTTTATGTACAAATATTGAAATATGATAATATGAAAATATTATTATTTCAACTTATATCGGTTACCGTATTAATAATCACAATATAAATATTATATAAAATATCCTAGGACCTAGGCTGACAAACCGTCTCCTATCAGAATTGTTTTCGGTATACAATGATATTAATATATTATATATTTATATATCATTGAATTCAAATTTAACACCATCCAGTGGCGTCAGCAGGGGGGGGGGGGGCTAAAGGAATGAAGCCCCCCCATTACCCTTATTATTATTATTATTACTTTTTCAAAAAAATATTAATCAAGTTAAACTGTCAACTATAGTAAGCAAGACGTAAATTTCATATATGTCTTACCAGAATGAATTTATTTTTGAAAAAACATTGTATTTGCATACCAATTTTAAATTATCTGTAATTTTTCGGTAAAAGTATGAACTACTTGTATGAAAGACCTTGTATTAAATTGTGTAGCCTTAGCTATACATATTTTATATTTTATAAGTTTTGAAGTACAATAACTAACTGTGTTTTTGACGAAATTTGAACTTTAAATGCTTATAAAAAATAACCATGATGTATGTATCGTTAATATTTTAGCTATAATAAAAAAATGTATGTATTACATTTTTAAGCTTTTTGACCGGATAAATAATTTTTTATTGACATTTATAGAAAAAAAAATGTAATTATTCAAATACAATCCAAGTGAAGACAGTATAACCAAACATTTAAATAAATTTTCATTTTTTTCTCCAATTATTTTTAAAATCATTGAGCATTTTCCACTTCGACCTCCTAAAAGTACCAACTAGATCCAATTTGCTTCCAAAAACATACACTGGGCATCGAGATTATGATCAGAGCATTTTTTCTACCAGAAAAGTTGAAAAGTTACAAGCATTTTAAAATACCTCAAATAAACGTCTGAAATTATTAGACTGGACAAAATAAAAATAAAATTGTAACTAATTTTCAAGCCCCCCCCCCCCCATTGAAAAATCCTGCTGACGCCACTGACACCATCCATTACAGTGACCCATTAATAACCTACCTACTGTACAGCAGAGCAACACCCACCTACCAGCTTTTTTCATTAAATAAATGTTTGTTGTACAATATTCAAAGTATAAATAATTAAAGAATAGTAGCATAAAAAACGGATTTAATTGACCATATTGTACAATAATTATATATAATTAAATTAATACTTATTGGTGGAGATAAAATCGGTTCATAAATAATTCATATAATATTCTACGCATATACTAATACCTAATTGATGTTTAACTATTTATTTCTAACGTTTAATTTGTTAGTTATTGGTCCTGCATAATTTGGTTTAAAACTTATTGACAATAAGTGACACACCGGAACATTCGACAGACATTTTTATGTTTTTGATGATTTTAAACCTTTTTTATTTTTATTTAATAAATAATTTTAGTTTCTCGGCGGAGCGATGCATGTATTGGCTTTATACAATTATGTGTGTTATGTTTTATATTCATTTATTTTTGTGTCACCTTTGTGAGGAGTACAAATTCTCAGATGTTTAACTCAGAACTCAGATTAATCTCAGATGTTTAACAGGGGTTTCTGGTATTTTGTTGTAATGTTCAAAAAATATTGTTTGCAGAATTGAAACTTTTCACCACTCTGTGTATTTTATTTATTTATTTATTTTTATTAGATGATACATAAGCCATTGGGTGGGGGTGGAACTGTGAGTTTTTGATAGGTTTGGTACACTTGTGTGTGTTGTGGCAGAATTTCTAGTGGGGCACACGTAGGTTTCTGCCATGCCCCGGGTGGGGGATGGCGCACTTGTTCTCCGGACACCGTGACTTTCCCGAAGAAAAATGCCGCCCAGTGGCCGAGAATCGCGAACCGGCGACGGCTGCGCCGCAACCGACGCCTTAGACCGCTCGGCCACCTTATCCCCCTGTATATTATTCTTTACTATACATAATGACATTTTCAAAATATTTAGAATTATTTTAAGCTATTTTCACCATGAACCTATTCACACCGTTTTATTGTACGTCTGTAATTTGTATTTGACTTTGATTGTATAAAATAATATTATAATTACTATTATACCATACATGTGATTTATTTTCGGCAAAAAATAGGGGGGGGGGGGGGGGGTTAAAATATTTTTATAAAAATACATAATTATATTACATTATAAAAATATGCCTACTTTAAAAATTTCAGGAGGGTTTTGAACCCCTACCCCCCTCCCTGTTTACGGGCCTGATTATTACTGCTATTACTTATTGCTCTTCTATATATTTTAGTTAACTTGATAAATTCTGGTAAATTCATACAAGAACTGACATAAAACCTTTGAAATGTCATTATTCTCGCTCAACATTTTTAATGATTTTATCACTTCCGCGCATGAATAATGTCACAACTCAAAGCTATTATTTTATATTTTAAAAATATTTTGAGTGGTGACACTATTCTTAACCAACTTGATACAATTTCATCTTTAGCAAAACGACACAAACTAAGTTTTTGTTGAGTATCTACTCGCTATCTTTATGGTTGTGAATAATATACAATTATTAAAAGTACCTATATACCTATATAAATAGCACCAGCCAGCAGTCAAATATTCAATTACTATCATACTAATAATTTTGTGGGGGACGGAGTGGTCGAGCGGACTAAGGCTTCAGTTGCGACTGGCACCGTCGCAGGTTTGAACTCGCCCATGGGCGGAATTTTTCTTCGGGCAGTCACGGTATCCGGAGAGAGTGGGCGCCATCCTCCATCCGGGCATGGCAGATACCTAAGGGTGCCCACTTAAAAATTTTTCCAAAACAAACACACACGCGTTCAAAACCTACAGTACCCTCCCCTACAGTTCCACAGGCTAATGACCTCAGTTATCGAAGCCTCAACCAAAAAAAAAAATTTTGTTAAATCCATGTGCTTGAGGATTGTCATTTTATTAAAGGCATAATATTATAATTTATAAGTTATAACCATTAAGAACTATGGTATAAACTATAAATATACGAGTTACAATGGGTTTATTATTAATACAATTTATTATTTTAATTGCCATAGCCATGGGTATAATTGTATTTAATACTCAGTTTTGAGTTATGTCATTATTCTTTTAGCAGGTAATGATACACTAAAAATGATTATTTCAGTCACGAACAGTGACATAAGTCAAAATGTTTTCAAGTATTTGTTAATAACATTAACAATAATTCATCCATTTACAACATCTACCAAGCATATTTAAAAACAATGTAATTTAACATTATTCTATCAAAAACAGCATTAGAATTTGATTTGTAATGTATTTTTTAAACATTAAATAGCTGATTACCAACAATTGTGTTTTTTGAGTTGTATCCATTATTCTTTCAGTAGTGCGAATTATCATTGAATTAAAATGTAATGCCTACATATTACATAATAAATTACAGTGACCTATGTCCTGTAAGTACACTCGGCACCTACTATAATTTACTGCAGATGGCTTGCCTGATTTTTAAAGATGTGTCTCGTCATATTAAAACCTAACTATCTAAAAATTTATTTCAAACTTTTTTATACTACTTTTTCATTACATTTTACAATAACATTATGTTAAACGCTTGTGCGATGTTTAGAGCCTAAAAGTTTTGCAAGCATTATTGCCATAAAAACTAAAAATTATCTGTTTTGTTCGTTCGTATAATTTTACTGCTAGCCTAGTATCTCACATTTCTAGCGAAAACATACTATAGTTTATTATCAACTATTAATTTTCAATTTTATCCTTTAAATGTTTACGACTAAAAAGAAGTAACCACATTTCCTTTACTATTGATAATGGCGGAGCTCGACATCTGTGTACTATGCTGTGAATAGCAACTATATTTATATACTTAAAAGGGTTTAATTGACAATTCGATGTAGGTATCATAGAATCTCATTATATATATTATATAAAATATCACGATACACATTTCATATACATAATAAATAAAAATATATTTTAATTTTTAAGATTTGCGATTGTTCTAAATAAGCTATTTGGGCAGTGCCGTGACACTGCCATTGGCACCCCAGGGCAACAATATTTGACACACTATATTATTATTATTACCCCTACATATTTATACATTTGCCGCCCTTTAAAATGTTACAACTTTTGTCTCCCTAGGGGCTAAGGCACTTGCCCCATTTAACACCTCCTTGGCAAGGTTCTGTATTTGCCATTTGGACGTAATCTTAAAAGTTAAAAGAGAGTATAGTTATATGAACAACTGGTGAAGAACAAAGAGTTGTGAAGAGACGTAGTAGAAGCGGCGATGGACCTTCAAGGCCCGGAATAAGGAAAAAAAAAATACTTATTTATAGAGGATATTTTTTACATCTGATTATCTGCCAAGCAGTTCAATCAATAAATTAGAACATATTTTTAAAATAAAAAAAGAAGAATATTATAGGAAAATAATAGAAAAATATTTTAGAATAAAAAAAAAATAATAAAAAATTAATATCATCCTTTGACTCTGTATACACTGTATATCATATTATTTATTGTATATATTCTATATAGGTACCTAATTACATAATAACAAATGTCTCTGTAATTATGTATACTGCACGCAATAAATTATCAAGTATATTATTATATGGTGACCCAATCAGTTTTAATTAATTGTTATTTATAAATAAAATTTAATCCTAAAATCGTATTTTTGACTTGGTTAACTTTTTGAACACAAACACCACAAATCATTGACACACATTTATAGCCCATGTACATAAAACTTAGGTAAAATATAATAATTGTTGTTACAACATGACGTATATGAGTAATAATAATAATAATAATAATAGTAATTTGTTCGCTGCAGGTGCCGGCTATCAGCTTGTTCGACCAACCCGCCGAACAGAACGCGGCGGCCGCGGCGGCGGTGGCCGCTGCGGACATTTCGGCCGCCGGTTGCAACGAGAAACCGCCTTACTCGTACATAGCGCTCATCGCCATGGCCATCACGTCCACACCCAACCAGCGGATGACGCTTAGCGAGATATACAACTATATTACGGACAAGTTCCCGTATTACCGGCGCAACAGACAGGGCTGGCAGAACTCCATCAGACACAACCTGAGCCTGAACGACTGTTTCATCAAGATCCCGAGGGGCCGGACCGGCATGGACGACAACATGGGCGGCGGCAAGGGCAGCTACTGGACGCTGGACCCGGTGGCCGCGGCCGACATGTTCGAGCGAGGCAACTACAGGCGGAGGCGGATGCGCCGGCACAGGCCATACCAGCAGCAAAGCCACCACCAGACGGTAAGCCTCATCTATCGTTACGAACGATCACAACGTAAATCTATATTATCTAAAGTAGCGTGACGAAGGGGGTGATTGACAGGGGTGACTATTTATGGATGATTGGCTTTAGTGGGTATTTATTATTCGTAGTTATGACAGTGAATGCGGCTTTATCGGGTCATTGGTGCTACAAGGTGGGTGAAATATTAGACTAACTTCTGAACAATTTCAAGTTCACTACTCCACTGAATTTATCTATATTTAATATTATAAAAAAATGTTTTCATTAAATAGAATTCGCAATATTATCCCCGAGTGCCGTGTAGTATACCTATACCTAATTAATTTCGTATATAATATAAAATAGTGTATTTAAGTTCCTTTTTTATGTTTGGGAGAGTTTCGGAAACTACTGGCTAGATTTACATGTTTATTATGTAGATAATATTTTGACAACGAACATAGGCATGATTGTAATTTTGCAATTTGGGAGGCTCACACATGCATTTCGTTACTGCTCACGAAAATAGATAATTTTTTTTGTTTATATATAAGATTGCCATTGGTTACTTAAATAAAATTTAAATCAATATTTGATATGGGCCAGCCAACCCACCTTGAAACATGGGATTTTTTTTTAAATAAAATAAAATAATATTATCATATAGGTCAATATATTTTTGGGCGGGATACAACTTATTTTTTTCTAACCAATTTTCGTAATGCTTTGTGTATTTCCGTAAAAAGAATTATCAACAATAAAACAAAAAAAAAATTTAAATAAATTCTTAACAAAATGTAGCATGTTACTAAATAGTTTCCCACTACACTGTGCCGTCTGTATCCCCTCCCCCCCCCAAAAAAAACCTATGATTTTCCTTGCAGAGGAAAAATATCTAGTAGCATGCTAGGTACTTTATTTATTTTAATTTATTGTTTGTCATTGAAATGCGTACAACAAAAGGCAATGTCCATGCCTATAATTGTACATCATTGACTCAAAAATTACTCCATCAGTTTTGACGAAAGTTTAGAGAGTAGTTTAAACCACGTTTGAAAATATATCTACCAAGTGATATTTCCACCACAAGTGAATTATTGTCTATCTCAGTTGAATTAGTTTTTAAAGCGAGGTACACCGATGTAACTTTTTGCTCTTCTATTCTTAATCCATCTTAATTAGTGGGTTTACCTGAACCTGTTTTGTTCAGTTATACCAAATATTATGTACGACAATATAGGACACTGGCATATAAAAACTGGTGAACTATTTCTTATCAAAATATCATTACAATATCGATTGCTCCTCGAGATTGTTATAATAGTTGCCTATTTTACTCCTTACGATTAACATGGACAATATAGCAAAATATAGGCAAATTCAGTGGCGTAAACTGGGTGGTGCAAATGCAGCACTTGCACCACCACATCTAAAATGTGGTGGTGCAAAGGTATGTTTTTGCACCACCAGAAAATCATTGAAATATATAATATATAAAGAGGTACAAAATAGTTATTTTAGTGCATGTATTAGACATTATCATTTAAATTATTACCCTATCTGGCCTATCTATATTCTAAAATATCGTACAACCCCCATAAATAGTTAGATTATTATCTATGGTAACCACTATCCACAGAATTTTGTATTTTATTATGGCAGTATCACAGAATCACGATTAAAGATATTATATCTTTAATCGTGCACAGAATAGACGTATAATTGTTCTGTGGTATAATATGGTAAAATTATATTGCTATCAACATTCTACCGCTAAAATAGTGTGTTATCACTGGATCAATGTTCATTCAATTCTCAAAAGTCAAATGTCAGATGATAGCTAGACGTCGTATTGAATCAAATTTTAAAATTCTCTTCAGGTTTCATAAGCGCCAGGAAAAACAACATAAAAATTAAGGAAAAACAGGAATTTTTACCCGAAATCGGTTTTCGACAAAATCGATTTTGGTTTTTGACCAAACAAATGAACATTTACATATATAATTGAAATATTCACTGGTTGGGTAAAAAAGCTTGGAAATTTAATAAAAGGCTCCAACTATATTGTTACAATGACATTAGAAAATTATTAAAAATCCTTAGTCACAGTTTTTTTTATAAGCATTGAAAGTTCAAATCTTGACAAAATACAGAAAAATCACGAAAATTAACAATATAATTTGAGTTGAAAAAATCATAAAAATGTTTCTTTTCAAATCTAAGATTTTAAAATGTAATACAAGATTATTCATAAGTTTGTATACGCCTTTATCAAAAAAAAAATATGTCCACAAGTAAATCAAATTAAATTTTTATGAGCATTTGAAAATCATATTTTTACAAGATTGGATATTCACTAGATTTCTCATGTAGCGATTTTGTTAATTTGTTGTTATTCAAACAAATAACTGTAAATACATGAAAATTTATATATTTATATTTTAATTTTCTATACACCACAAAGTTTTGAAAATATTTTAACTCTCTTTGAGCTGTTTCCGGACATTGTCATTTTTTAATTTTTTTAGTTTTTTTTTCTATAAATATCAATAAAATTTTATTTGTTGGGTAAAAAGCGTGAAAATTTAATGGAAGGCTCCTGATATATTGTTACAATAGCGTTGAAAAATATTAAAAATACATAGCCACAATTTTTTTTTATAAGCATTTGAAATTCAAATGTTGACAAAATGTATGGATAAATATATAGTTTTTAAGCTATTGCATAGCTGTTATCGCAGGTCTGGTGTAGTGACTGAAAAAAAATTTTTCGTAACGAAAAAGCGTGACCACTTTGTTTATTTATACATACTATAGCACCTACCTGGTGGCCATAGCAACGCATAGCTAAATTATAATTTAATTTTGATAACAGTTATTTATATTTAAATAACAACGACTATGAACATAAAGCGCTTATAAATATAATGGTTTTGTTATGGGTTGCTATAGCAATAAATTTATATATATAAATATATAATATATAATAATATATTATTAATTTTATATATTTATAATCTATTATATAAAAATAAGTCCGGTTTTCCTCCCTGACGCTATAACTCGAGAACGCACGAACCGATTTCCACGGTTTTGCATTCGTTGGAAAGGTCTTGGGCTCCGTGAGGTTTATAGCAAAGAAAATTCTGGAAAATTCAGGAAAAATTCAACAGAAAAGTGGGGAAATCGTTTTTCACATACAGCGCCATCTATTATACATAGCATGTACTTCAAACCAATAGCAACGGTGCGTGATAAAGTGTTTGACAGATAGTCATTATTCTCTGCTCAGTTAATTTCATTTAAGCTAAAATAAATTATGTAAATTATGTGGATCGTGCATTTGAAGTTAAATTCAACACTCTGTCCATAGTCCAAAATGCCTATAGAACGACGTGCGAACATCGGCCGCCGCACAAGACATGCAAGCCAGCAACAAGTCTATTCAAGGAACTTAAGAGAAGAAAGACAAAATATAATAAGAGAAAATGACCGATTGAGACATCGCGTGAGCACACGAAGATCATTGGCATCAGTAAGCTGATTGACTGCTATCAACGCACAGCTCAAACCATTGGACGGATCTGGCTGAAATTTGGCATACAGATAGCTATTATAATATAGACGTGCGCTAAGAAAGGATTTGCCAAAATTCGCATTTTAAATAGGTGCTGAAACAGGGACATTGAGATTCACGATAGAAATTGGAAATTTTATTTTTATTTATTTATAGTTGCCATTGGTTACAGTCTACATTAGAAATTAGCATTTATTTATTGGTTGCCATTGGTTATTCGGGCAGATCAGGTACAAGCTTGCATCAAATCGAATTATTGAACAATGCTTACCAGGGTGGCAGAGTTGCACCTACCGCAGAAAATTACACCCAAAAGGAGTTCAACAATCATAATTTTTTTAAGAGTTGCGATTTTTTACGAGCAACCAAATTTATTATATTAATCCACAGTATTACATCAAAATAAACTTGGTATAACTTTGATACTTTAGAGTTAAATCATACACTTCCGTACAAACAGCACGGGGTCCGCGATCTACCGCAGGTAGATTGCCTACCTGATAATGTACTGCTGCGATTCAGAATTTTTATTCAGGGCAACGGGAAAGATAAGATAAATTTTGAACACCATACACCGAATATTGAATAATGAATTGAACAAAGTTTGAGTAGGTAGTATTGAGTTGATCCATTTAACGGGCGACGAAGTGCACGGGATCAGCTAGTAATATATATAAAATCTATATATATAAAAATGAATGTATGTCAGTGTGTCAGTGTGTCTGTGTGTCTGTGTGTCCATGTTACCATGGTTACCAAGGTTGCCATGGTTACTAAGGTTGCCATGGTTACTAAGGTTGCCATGGTTACTAAGGTTGCCATGGTTACTAAGGTTACCAAGGTTTCATGGTTATTAAGGTTACCATGATCCATAGTTACCATGGTTACCAATGTTACCATGGTTACCATGAGTGTTGTAGCTATTATAATCATAATTATAGGTCTTTAATGGGCAACGAAGTGCATGGGATCAGATATTTTATATATTTAGTCCGTGTGTGTCCACATTACCATGGCAACCTTTTATATTTTATATTGTAACTTCCGATGGAAAGTTTTGTATATAAATGGTTGCCATTTTGATATGTAAAACATATTATTCATGTAGAGTTGTAATTTTTAATGTGAATTGATGATCATTGAGATGTTGTGCTCAAATAGGGATTTTGAGATTTTATATGGACTTTTTTGTTTATAAATAGTTGCCGTGGGTTTCAAAGCTATAATAATAATAATTATCGGTTGCCATTGGTTTAAATTGGTGGTTATTTATTATAGTGCCTAACGATTCATTTTTTCAAAAAAACTGAATTCAATTGCAACTGTTATAAGTTAATTTAGTATGCCTAACAATAAACGAGCAATAATTAGTCCTACTGTTCGAGCACGAAAGAAGCGGGAAACACGAGCGGCGGAAACAAACGAGCAAAGAGAAGCTAGATTGAGGACCAACCGTGAACGGCAGACCCGTTAATTAATAATTAATATCGAGATTAATATAATCAATATAATTCATATAGAGTTGGTATTTTTATTGGGCAACGAAGTGCACGGGATCAGCTAGTATTATATATTATAGCAATAAAAACATAAACTATAGTTTCTATGATACAAATTCCTGAATAAATAGAATAATAAAAAAATTTAAAATTATATCAACTTCTTATTTATTTAATATGCAATAGCTTTATCGCGGCAGTCCCCGAATGCCACTTTTAATATTTTTTTTTGTTAGGAAGGATTTTACTTAGAAAGTTGGATTATTTTTGTGTTGGAAATTATAGGTTAATAATATGCCTCTGCACCACCAGAAATTGGACCCAATTTACGCCACTGGGCAAATTATATACAATCTCGGGGGGAAATGAAAACAAATTGTTCGTCACTATTTTAATACATAATGTCCTGTATTATCGTATATAGTATTTGGTTATACTTATACACAAACAGTAAACTTAATCATAATTCATAAAATATATCCCGTATCAAATTATATCAACATTTCCCATTGCATACGGTTTTTAACGTGGATCACTAAAAAATCAAAATGCAGTTTAGTGCTTGGTCCTTACCTAGTATTATTTAACTTGGAAAATTGTAGGAGGTATAGTCTGTTCAGAATGAGATCGGTACACGGCGGCGACCAGTTTTCGTCGGACGGCGGTCAGGCGCTGTCCGCACTACGGCGACGCGTCGGGCGCTGCCAAGTAACAAAGCCAAGCCCATGCGCACTATTTGACCGCCCGTACCGATCTCATTCTGAACAGACTATAGGTATATGTGAATACATACTAACCCAACGTCACATGGTGTAAGTTACACTTATTAAAAATATTAATCGTAATGGTTTTTCTTGAGTTCTTATAATATGTTCTCCCCGCAGAACCAACAGGACATCAAGTCGTTGCTGCAGCAACAGCAACAGCCGCTGGCCAGTCCTCACCACCACCACCACCACCACTTCTCGGTGTACCCCGAGTTCCAGTTGACCGGCAGGAATGCCGTGGCAACCGCGGCAGAGTCGCTAGCGGACAACCAGCACGCAGCCGCTGCCGTCGCGGACACCGTGTCCTCGCACAACCTGGCGTTCCACATCGAGAACCTGATACAGAAGAAACACCGCGGTGCCGAGATGTCTCAGGAAGAGATCGTATCGTCCAGCGGCGTGCACAACAACAACAACGATCTGCTGCAGTACGCGGCCGGCGACGACCACCAACACCACCACCGCCACCGCCAACAGCTACCACTGACGCAGCACGCGGTCGAGTCCAAGCCCAAATTGATTATCATCAACGACGAGGACGACAGCAACATCAGTGGTGGTAGTGGCGGCAGACGATGCTAAGACGCCGCAGCCCCGTCACGCACACAATCAATGATCATAATATTCTAACGCATAAATTACACAATATTATATATTGTAATGTAATGTATGAGTGCATTGCACACGCATACACGACGTAAAGTCATGTGCCCACGTTTGTACTTGTGTATATAGTAAAGTATGCCTACGTATACGATGTACACCTATGCTTACCGGTTATCGAGTATAATATATTACAATAATATTATACTTATATAAGTACCTATCTATTCGTGTGCGTGTGCGTGGACATATGTGTATGTGTGTTTGTGTGTGTGTGTGGTGATAGAAACGCGGTATCCCCCTAACGAGAGTATTAATTTCATTTTCGAAAATATATAAAACTTGTACATACCTATTATCTACCTATATTATATGATTATTATTATTATTATTATTATGATTATTATTATTATTATTATTATTATTATAACTACTGTGCTACAATAATCGTTTGCTGGTTTTGTTTTTTGACACTTTTTTTTCTTTTCAACACGACGAAAATATGTTTGCAATGCCTGTCTTGTACTTACCAATATTATCCTACATGGATATAAAAGGGCGGATGAAGATCCATGGTGGCAAGTGACTTATCCATACACACATTCTGGATCCACCCTTGCATCTGCATGATATAGGTAATATACAGTTGAGTCTCAAACAGTCAAATTTCAAAGGGAATAAAAATAATTTCAACTTGTGTATTTTTCGAGTTATATAGCCATATAGGTATCTCGGACACAGCTTAAAAACACTTTAGGTGTTAAGAAATAAATTAGAGTTATCAAAATTTTTGATATATCGAGATTCGAATCATCGAGACTTGACTGTATTATTATTGCGTGATAAGACTTATTATTAGTGGTAATCGGCAGCAGCAGCCTAGATAATGACCGGCGCTACCTTAATAAAACCAAAAAATCCCTAAAGGTACACCCAAGGCGAAATTTATTTAAAGCCACGGTACCCAATGAAATATTTATATAATTTAAAAAAAAGTCCGTATCAATTTACAATTAACTGCACCCTATGGTATTTTTAGTAAGTATCTACTTTTATATTTTAAACTTAATTTCAGAAATATTTTCATCTGGTTCTACACCACCTTGCTACAAATCAAAAAATAATAAAACAATAATAGGTGCCGAACTCTGTCTTAAGTCTTTATATTACAGTACAAAAAAAAAATAGGTAGGTATAGGTTTTTCCCGAAGTCGGGAAATCACTTTGACAATACAATATGTTATTAACAAAATAGAAATAGGTTCTACCAAATTTTTCCGAACATAATACATTTATAAGTAAATAGTAATTTATTGTATTAATGCATCAAAGAATTTTTTTTTTTTTTTTAAAAAGTTGTAACCTATATCTGACTTAAGACTCGGTTGACCGGCGTCTTTCGGAAATTGCAGGGGCAGCACAGGCCAGAGTCGGACAGGGTAATAAGGGCCTCACCGGCAATTTACTTATAGAGGTTAACTAAACAATAGTGATAAATAATAACTCACTTGAAAAGTTGATACATTTTTTTCACAAAAAATGATCATAAAGAAATAAACTTTATAATTTACAATTGTTACTTAAAACACCATATTTATCTTTATTTATTGGTTTCTTTAGTTAAATTTATTTTATAGTATTTTTTAGAGATCGATTATAATAAATTATCAAAATTGTCGGTAACTACCTAATTTTGATAATTGTTCAAAATGTTATTTATTGATTTAAGATAAGGAGGAAAATGTAGAAGGTTTTATAGAATAGTATGTACCTATAGAATCAAACACATTTTGTTAATTGTTAAGACACAATATAAACAATTAATATTGAAATAAAAATATAATTTTTAATACAATTTTTATATTTTTATAAATCAAGGATAATATAATCATATCATTGTGTACCTACTGATTGAAGTATTCCTCAAGCCAATAAGAATAGGTTTACAGTTCTAAAAATAAATACCTCTAAAATTTCAATATTGATCAATCGTATATATTATTATTATTTTTAATTGGCGCCGATGAGACGATAACAGAAACGTTGAGACGTCACAAACATGTTTTGTCCGTCTAAAACTACACTGTTTTTATGTTTGATTATTTTTAAATAAATATAATTTATTATTTAAATGTACATTTCATATACAGTGGATTCCGCTTAATTATGTGGGCACGTTGGGACCAGCCCTGTTTGCCCACATTAAGCGGTTGCCCATTAAAACCGAAATTAGTTCAAACAAAACATTTGTATTGGGACCAGACATGATTGTCCACAATAAGCGGATGCCCGTATTAACCGGTGGCCACATTAAGCGGAATCCACTGTATTTTATACTTTTTTTTATAATTTTTCCGTTCATTAGATAGGGCCCCATATGGCATATAGTCAAACACACAACGGGGCCTCGCTGGCTATGGCTAGTCGGTTGTATTAGCCAGTCCGACCTTAGGCACCCTGTGCTGCAACCGTAGACACGCTTATGCTATAATAGGTGCCTATACAATGTTCATCCACAACTAAGTGTCTAATGGTCATTTGCACCAATTTATCATTTAACTGTTACTTTACTAAGTTACACTTAAGCTAAGCTGTCCTTAAATTTAGAAGATACTTAAGTTGCATTGCACCATTCGGAAATAAATAATCTTAGTAAAGTGTTCCTTAATTCGATTTTCGTTATATTGTTCCGAACTTCAAATATAAATAACATAATGATAACACGATAACTATTGTGATAATCACGGACTAAGATATACAGGACTGGACACGAGATGAATATTGTGGTTACGAAATGTTTTACAACAGGCGGAGTTCGGGGGGATATTTTCCTTTTAGCATTACTAGCGCCGTCTTAGTGGATACTTATGGAACTAGAAATTTGTATGATGTGTTCTAGTTCCATAAGTATCCACTAGGACGGCGCTAGTAATGATAAAAGGAAAATATCCCCCCGAACACCGCCTGTTGTAAAACATTTTGTAGTCAACCCCCCACACCCTCCAACCTTGTCGTGTCCAGTCCTGTATATCTTAGTCCGTGGTGATAATGCATTTATCATTAGATAGCAGATGCCGAATATTGATAATCCGCCTTTATAGAATATAGTTTATACTTTATTTTATATTTACGACATCCTAAGTACTTAGTGTAAAGTTAATTATTAGTTAGTTATTAATTTCTGCCTGTTTAATAGTTATCAGTTATATAGCACCTATTTTTGCAATGACCACAAAACAAAACCTGTCTGTATTAACCGAGTAAGTACAATTGGTAACATTCATACAAAATTACTGACATCAGAAATACATTTTGTAATTATTAATATATAACCATTTACAGATCAGGCCCTTCAAAAAAACGTTTCAGAAGTGCAAATTACTCTCCTGATGAAAAAATGCGTTTGATTAGCATCTGCACAAAGTATAAACATATTATTGAATCAAAAAAAACTGATGCTGTGTCCTGGAAAGAAAAAGAAGATACTTGGATAACAATTTGAAACGAATTTAATGCCAGTTCAGATGTTTATAGGGACAAAGATTCTTTAAAGAAATGCTATGATAATCAGAAAAAAACTACACGAAAAGTTTATGCGGCAAATCGTCAAGAAACATACAAAACAGGAGGTGGTAAAAATGATGCATGCTCAATATCCCCTATTGACGAAGCTACGATTCTGGTGATGAATAATAAAACAGTGAAAGGACTTCTGAATCAGTATGATGATGATAGTATAAAAGAATCCTGTAATGATATAGATGTTGAACTAATTGAACATTTTGAATTTGATGATGTAATTGTAAGTTAATTAGTTGATTTAGTACCTATGTTAAAATTGTATGATGGTTGATATATCCTTCTATTTTATTTTTGTTAGAGTCCAGAAGTTATCAACACTAACAACCCTACTAATACTGAGGAAGCAGAAAAAATTGAAACAGTAGAAGTAGATTGGGGATCAAAATCAATGACCGCAAGTAATTTAAAATCAAAAAAAAACTTAAAACTAGTAGATTCAAGTGAAAAAGAAAAATGGAGCAATCGTCGAAGACCATCTGTAACACCTACTGGTAATTTAGCAAAGAAATTTGAGGAAGTTGCAAATATAAAAAAGGAAGTAGCTGAAGTCTTTTTAGAAAACATGAGGGCTAAGGAAGAAAGAGAAAAAAGGGAACATGACATAAGATTGGAGATTTTAAAGCTGGAGTTGGAAAAAAAGAGAAACGAATTGTCCATGTAAAATATTTGATCGGTGAGTATTTATATATTTCTTACTTTATCTCATAATTTTTTTTTGTTTATTAATATTAATCTTTATAATTTGTTTCATAGTACCATGTAAACTTATATAAATACTAAAAAATTTGTTAATTAGTTTATAATACAAATTATCATGAGACTGTATTACATAGTTACTAAAGTACATTATAATTTGTAATTATTATAATAAAATTTGCAATATATGGTAAAATGTAAAGTTCCTAAAGTGTTCATAATTAAATTATTTTTATTTTCAATTCAAGTTACAACTTTTTTTTTTTGCCTAGTATTTAATTATAAAATGTGATAAAGGTAAATTATTATAAGTTAAATTAGTTTATTATTTTTTTATTTTTTATTGTAAAATCTGTTTTTAAAACTATTATAAAATTGAATTGTTTAATATAAAAATGTTGTATCATATTCTTAATATTACAATCGACTAAAATAATGGTTGATTATGTTGGCTCTTTGATTTATTCCACCTACATCATCTTGTTGTTGTTGGTTATTTATTGCATTTATGTTAAGGTCACCTGAAGCATATTAAAAATAACATTGTTAGGTTTTAATATGCAACACAAATATAATATATTTACCATTGTTAATTAATAATGACAAAGGATCATTTCCATCAATATCAGGTATTTCTACATTAAATTGAATGGCGATATTGTGTAGAATGAAAGTTGAAGTTATAATTGCCATTATTGTGTCAATTTTTTTCATTCTGATACCATAAGCTAAAATAGGAAATCGTCGTTTAATAACGCCAAAACACCTTTCAACAGTATTTCTGGTACGAATATGCGATTCATTGTATAATTGTTCACTTTGAGAATTAGGATTTAATAGAGGTGTCATAAGATATTTTAATACTGGATATCCACTATCACCTATAAACATTTGTGTTATTATAAATAAATACAGACACTAGTAAAAAATATAATTTAAATTTAGCACTCAGTAACTCGTGATGCACATTAAATTATTAAATGTGTACTTAAAATGATAATATTACTTTACCTAGTATAAGATAGTTTTTAAATACACCTGATTCAAATTCAGAATGAACCCTAGAATTATTAAAAATAGTAGAATCATGGGTGGATCCTGGCCAACGTGCTACAATATTTGATACTTTCAAATTAGCTCTGCATATTGCCTGCACATTAATAGAAAAGTACCCTTTTCTATTTCTATAAATCTCTGCATCATCCCCTCCTAAATATAAAAATAACTTGTCAATATAAATTTAGTTTATATTAATAAAATTACATTATCAATACCTAATGATTGTATTCTAATATGAGTGCAGTCAATAGTTCCAATGATTCGTGGAAACTTTGCTATTTTAAAAAAATCGTTAGCTGCTTCTTTCAATTCTGTATCATTTTTAGGCATACTTATAAATTTTTTGCACCTAAAAGAGAAGTTAATAAAAATTTAGCTTTAATGTATTTTATTGCATGTATTTTTGGTAGACCGTGTACTATACTTTGTGATGTTACCGGTAGACCGTATACTATAGTCTATTATATATAATAGTCTATACTCTATATCTATTTGGCTTACATGTTCTATTAAACAACAAATTATAATTTCATCAAAAATCCTTACTTTAAAGATATGGCCCTTGCAACTCTGTGTATTATTCTACATATAGTAGACAAGTGGCATCCCATAAAATCTCCAACACTCATATAATGCTTAGCAGTAGCACAAAATCTCAAAAAAGTCAGAAGTTGATTAATTGGAGAAACTGATTGGTTCCTTCAGTTTATGAAACATTAATATTTATACATTTAGTATTAGGTATCTATTTGAATTAACTAATCTGTTGTAAGTAGGTTATTAGGTACTTACAAGTCATTTGAATACTCCAAATCTGTTTCAATGTATGTTAAGACAAATAAAACTGACTCTTTGCTTAAACGAAAACGACGTTTAAATGCAATATCGTCTAGTGAAGAAAAAAAATCTGATCTCTGATATATCTGTTTTGGAATACCAAAAAAAATAAATTCTAACTCTATTGCGTCGTCATCTAAAACCTCAAAAATATCTAAATACTCTTCGGGGACATCCAGTTCCATTTTATTTAGTTCTGATATTATAAAGTATATTATAAGTATAAAGTATATTACCTACTATAAGAACTGACACTAATATAATAAAACACCATAAAAAACAATAGTAAACTGTAACAGAAAATCTGATAAATTATAAATTATGATAAAAACGATTACAAGTCCTTAGCTAAGTCATGCTTAAATTAATTAAGCCACAGTTCATCATTGGTTTAATTTAAACCTCCCTTAAAATAATTTAAGATAGTATTTGAAGACTGTGCAACAAACTTAAATTTTAAGTTGATCTTAAAGTAGACTTAAATTTTAAGTGTAACTGGTGCAAATGACCATAAGTAATATGTACATTGCAGTTCAATAATATATTACGTCATATTATATTATAATTTAAAATCTAAATAGCATGCCAAAGAATAGAGCTATTATCAACTTCAAGTTCTACACGAGTTAGGTACATGGTATACTAGGTACCTATTTTATTTTATTTATTATTTATTATTATTAGTAAGTAACGATCGACTAATATTTAGTTTATTAGTTATGATTGTTTTATGAATTTATTACAATAAGATAACTTACTACCTACCTATCTGTCATTCTATCTATTTAAAAATAGTAAAAAGAAAAGGCTTTCTTCGTATTTCATTAATTGTTGATTACCTACACTACATTCACTTTTCACCAATTTTATTATATAATTAGGTATAATATAATAAATTAATAAATAAAAACAATTAAAAAGAAGAATATCATTTATACCTGTCTTGTCAGATTTTTGTTATATTTTAATTTTACATTTTTAGTATTAATTTCAATTTTTTAGTTATTCATTATTGTTCATAATTTTCTTGTAAATAAAAATATTAAAACAAGTTTTCGGAAAAACAAAGATATGTTAGAACGTATTTCTTTTGTGTCTGTGTACACGATAAGTAGTCGAAATAACGCTTCGATTTTCAACTTCAGTATCTTGTTCGACTGGAAAGTGAATATTGTTGGTGCATTGGGGAGGTCAAAATTTAAAATTTCCAATAATTTTCAAAAGTGCCAAGAAAAACAAAAGAAAAATTAAGGAAAAACGGGAATTTTTACGCAAAATTGAATTTTACAAAATTGAATTTGGTTTTTGGTGTAACTTTAAAACAAATATCCGTAGATACATGAAATTTTCACTGGTTGTTTATATTTGCATTTTCTATACACGATAAAATTTTCAAAATATTTTGATTTATTTTGAACTGTGTAGGGACATTTTCAGTTACCAATTTTATTAGTTTTTATTTTTATGAATATCAATAAAAATGTATTTGTTGAGTAAAAATACTTGAAAATTGAATAGAAGGCTCCTAGTATATTGTTTCAGAGGAAGATGAAAAATATTAAAAATCCTTAGTCACAATTTTTTTTTATAAGCATTTAAACTCAAAAATTGACAACATATGGAAAAATCACCAAAATTAGCAAATTATTTTGAGTTAAGAATTCGTAAAAATTTTTCTTTTTAAATCTAAGGTTTAAAAATTTAATATAAGATTCCTTATAAGATCTACCTTAATCAAAAAAAAAAAAATGTCTACCAGAAAGTGAAATTTTTTAATGGGCATTTTAAATTCATATTTATACAAAATTTGTTGTTCACTCGATTTCTTATGTAACGATTTTCTTATTTTGTTGTACTTCTAAGACGAATAACTATACATGAAAATTTCACTGAATATTAATTATATTATCAATTCTTATACTTGATACAATTTTCAACATATTTTGACGCTTTTTGAGCTGTTTACGGGCATTGTCAGTTTTCATTTTTTTTTTTTTTTTATGATTATCTATTAAGTTTTATCTGTTGAGCCAAAAAGTGTCAACATTTAATACAAGGCTCCTGATATTTTAATTTAATTTTATTTATTTACAATACGGGTCAAGCCCAATTACATAATGATAATACAACAATAATTTAATTATGATAATAATATTACAGTGAACATGTAAAAATAAAAATATCGAAAATACTATAATATAGTAGAATTAATTAGTACAATATAACAAATATTAAAAGAAAAGAGAAAAAACAAAAAATAAAATCGTTTTAATTAAAAGTAATATAATAATAACAACTAGAAACATTAAGGTTACTGATAATGATAAATAGTTAATTAAGAAAAGATGGATCGCTATTTGCCAAAAGCATCATCCTAACTATCGGCTGGTTTTCTAAATAATTGGTGATAAATTTTGGTATAAGAAATGGAAAAGTGTGTCTGATATTAGTGGACGGAACTTTAAAGTTAATGAATGAAAGTAGTTCAGGAGAGTCGATCTTACCATCAATTAATTGCCTAAGAAAATTTAGACTAGCAGCTTGCCTTCTGTCAGCTAAAGTACTCAAACCAAGTCTGTCCATGACAGGGATATAATCATGAGGCATGTGATCAATATTGAGAGTAAAAGCTGCATAATTAAGAAATTTCCGTTGAACCCTTTCAATTTGATTTCTATTACAAGCAGTATAAGGAACCCAAACAACAGCACCATATTCCAAGATAGACCTAACAAAGGTTAACATAATGTTTTTATACCAGAGTTGAGATGTTTAAAACATTTTGTTTTAAACACCTGTTTAAAACATGTTTTAAACATCTAAATTGATCAAACATGGTTTTGTTTAAAACGTTTAAAACAAATGATTTAAACAACATAAAAAAAAAAAACAGTTTAAAACAGAAAATCATCATTTATGTGCATATAACTTATTATTTGTAAGTTCATAGTTTATACTAACTTAAACTCCTGAAATATTCTTTTAACATAATTCAGTAATTTTAAAGCTTTACAACAAATTAAATCTAAATGAAAATGAAAATTCAATTGGCGGTCGAACGTGATACCAAAGTCTTTAACCATACTGTTCTCACGAGTTAAAGGTAAACCATTTATTGCATAAGCATAATTTAATTGCTCACGGATTCTATAGAAAGACATAGTACGACATTTAGAGAAATTGAGGTCCATCCCATGATCATTAGACCAGATAACTAAATTATTAAGATCATTTTGTAATAAATAACAGTCATCTAATGAATTGACCTTTAAAAATAATTTTAGATCATCAGCAAAAAAAAAGAAAACGACTGTTAATAATGACATTTTTTATATCGTAAATAAATAATGAAAAAAGTAAACTAGAGAGATGACCTCCTACACCTGAAGTAGTATGAAAAAAACTTGACTTTACACCATGAATATCAACAATCTATTTACGATCCATAAGATAAGAACGAAACCAAGACAATAATGGCTCACCAAAACCCGATTTAAACAGAACTTCCATTAAAATAGTATGATCAATACTACATATGATTATATGATTCAATAGCCAAATTTATGATAATCAGAAAATTCTAAAAACTAATGACTGGCTTAAATTTGTGTAAATTCATTAAAATATACAATAAATTTTGTTTAAAATAAATAAATACTGTTAATATATATTTAAATAAATATGAATACAAATATAGAATAATATGTGCATAAACACATTTACAAATTCATTTTTTCCAGTATAGATTCCTATTTCCTTGTTCATAGCAAATATGATGTTTGTCAATGACAAATTATAGTTAAACACATATATTATTGGTACATGGTATTTTAAAAAAATATCTTTACATACTTTCAATTTGTAACATGCATCAGTTTTCTAAAGTAACTGATAACAAATATAAATATATATATTTTTCAACCTAAATCATCAAATAAATTGAGTGCCACGGATATTGTGCAATAATTAATCCATGGGAAAAATGAGTAATAATTTAAAAGTTGTTCTTAAGTGGTTCATGAAACACCCGTATTTGTTGCATATGGATACTCGGGATACAACAAACATAACATACCAAATTATATTAAAATTTGTTAGTTTTAATGTTACTGTGAATTGACCAATTACCCAACTTAAAGGTATCAAACTAATAACATTATTTGGGTTTTTTTGATATTTTAAATTTAAGCAAGTGTAATCATGTAAGTAAAATACAACAGTTTAAAAATACTTAAAACAAAATATTTAAATATTGTTACCTAAGTTTAATAATATCTAAATAATAGATTCATTATAATATTAAAACCAACAAAATTAAGCATGGGCTGCTGAATGTTACACAATTTTTAGAGAGTGACAATAAATTTGTATGGGGTATCCTATAAACATTCAAATAATATATTTTTCTTAATAAGCTAACTTTAAAATTAGAAGTTGATGTTATAGTAAAATACAACATAAATTGATAAATAAAAGGAATTAAAATAACATAGGGCAATAAGGATTGCCAAATGATAAGATTGAACAACATAGATGATTTGTAATAAGATAATTAGATAAACAATTGACTTTTTTGGAACACATTTTTATTATTTTTGTTTTTTTTTTAGTTATTGACACTAACACTAGAATAAAAAATCAATAATCAAATCTAAATTCTTTGTATGACGGATCGAATGATTGTACCCTAATGAAACCATCCTCTCCACCTGTACTGAAACTTTCACCATCTGGATGGAATGCTAATGAATTTATGGGACCGAAATGACCTTTAACTCTTGCAAATTCTTCTTCAAAAATTACATGAAAGAATCTAGCATCAAATTTTCCTGCTTGTGCTGCTGTTGTTGTCACATCCATAGCATCTTGACCACCACCCAAGACCACCTTAAAAGTACCACAAACAATATTGTTAAATTTCAATGTATAATATAAAAAATTTCATACAATATAAACTAACGTGATCATATATAGGTGAAAGTGAAGCACTGTTGACAGGACGTTCAGTCACATAGACTTTATGGACTGACAAATCTTCAACATCAAATAGCTTTGAAGTTTTGTCTCTTGATGCAGTAACGAACATAGTACCTTGTCGATTTTTTTGCATGTCATTGATTGATCCTTGATGGTCTTTTACAGTTTCTATGCTTTTTCCAGTCTAAGATAAACATTAAATATTATGTCAAGCAAGTCTTAACAACACAAAAAACTCAAAACTTAAAATTTGTTCTTGTCCTTTAAAGTAAAAAACACACACTATTGTAAAATCAATACATTATTTCGCTCCGCTTTGAACATAAAAGTTATAAATTATAATACAGTTGTATAAATTTGAAAAAAAAAATATGCCGAATATATTAATATCCCCCTTGAGATTCGAGTTAAGACACGACTGTACAATATAATAATATATATTATTGAAACCTGTATACAGGGTGTTTCTGAAATGGATGAGGTAGTTAGTATAGGCGTACTCAGTGTGATGGCCCAATGAAGATTTTTTTTCTATCTTCAAAATCTGGGTTTATACAAATTATTTTTAGAACATTATCTTAAATGTAAAAATAAATGGTGAAGTTAGATTTTTTGCAAAATTCTCATATGAATCGAGGTATCACATCATTTTTGAGCTAGTTTTTCAAGCTTGAATCGCTGACTAAAAAAAAATTGGTGTGGCACATCGATTTGTATGAGAACACTACAAGATAAACAGTGGTGATATTTATTTGTTGTCATTTAACATACACAATTAATTAACGAATTATTTTACATTGTCAACCAATAAAAACGATAAAATAAAAAAAAATTATTGTCAACAAAGTTTTAAATTATCAAATTTACTGACATACATTCAAGTTGTGTTACGTTGTAAAATAATCATAATTAAATACACTTTATTTTTAAAACCTATTTTTATCTACAGTTGTTCAATGTGAGTATGTGACTCCTGTTAACTTCGATGCCCTTTCGATCCGACTATGTAATGAATTCCAAGTTTTTTCCAACAAATTTGGTGTTAGGCGAATGATATCAGCTACATTATTAATTCTCATCAAAAGTTCATCTCTATTATTTAGGTAATTCTTTGGCATAAACAAGTTGTTTCTGAATATTCAATGTTAGTGTAATCTATTGTTCAAAATGTAAATTTAAAATTTAAATCTTAAAAATAAATTTAAAGTTTGGTTCAATGGATATTGAAACTCCAGTATTGAACTCAGCTATAATCAAATCAACTAATGTTCTTTATGTCAAAATTACGGTCAATTAGTTATTTTATTATAGACAGCACGGATAAAAGTTACCATATTTTATTACCTGTACATCTAAATCACACAAATCAATGTACTTAAGTAAATTTGATTATTTAAAACTTTGTTGACCCTAATTTTGTTATTATTTTATCATTTTTATTAGTTGACAATGTAAAATAATGCGTTAATTAATCAAGTATTTCAAATAACAGCAAATAACTATCACCACTGTTTATCTTGTAATGTTTTCATACAAATCGATGTGCCACACCAATTTTTTTTTAGTCGGTGGTTCGAGCGTGAAAACACAAAAATTATGTGACACCTCGATTTGTATGAGAATTTTGCAAAAAATACAACTTGACTATTTATTTCTACATTTAAGATAATGTTCTATTAATAATTTGTATAAACCCAGATTTTGAAGATAGAAAAAAAAAATCAACATAACCTTCACTGGGCCATCAGACTGAGTATGGCCTATACTAGTTACCTCATCCATTTCAGAAACACCCTATATAATGGACACAGTCACGGAACCAACAAAAGTGTCCACTATTGTAGACAGGCTTTAGTATAATTTACTGTAGTCACACTTGCATACGTATCAAAAATATACATACATATAGTTAATAATACATGCATGATACATAAACAATTATAAATATATGCAATTAATGTTATTGTTATCAATGATATAGGAGTATGTAATCGGTCATAATCCTAGCCTTGATGTTGTGACACTGTTGCGTATAGTATTGTATAATATGATGCAATTAAATATGAGTTTGAACTAAGATTGTTATCCATTATGGAGGTATCGGGGAGAATTATTACCAGTGCTCTAATTGGGAGGAGGGGTGCAAAGGAGGACGGAGCTCCCCTACTATTTTTTTTTTGCGTACCCCTTCTATTTTTTTTACTCGGATGGAGGGAAGGTGCAAACTGAAATCCGAAATAATTTGGATTTTAATTGATGTCAATTATACAACAAGTTTTACTATTTTTCATATCAACATTATTTTTGATATTAGTTTATTAATTAATTATAATATCACCCTGTGTTTTGCCTATATGGTCAGTAGTTCACAGATCATAATATACAAGTATATTATCTAAGGCACAGATATTGGTGTGGACTAGTACTATCTTAAATTGTGTTCCAAATGAAATGTTATCAGTTTCAGTTATGGTTATCATTTATCAGTGTTTTTGAATTTTTAAATTTTTTTATACTTATCAAAATATGTGGTCCTTTTGAATCGAAAAAAATAATTTTTAATTTTATTATCTATTTAATATATTGAATAAACAGGTTGATTATTATTATTTTTTTTTCTACTGTAACAATGTAAGATGTACATATTGCTATCAAAATATATTATACCCATTTGGAATTCAAAATGTGTTGTCGAAAAGTGATATTCAAAATGTATGTAAGGCATGATCGCAGGGGGGAGGGCAAAGCCCCCACGGGTCTGTATTGAGTAATTGCGCTTTTGGAAAGCAGTTTTTAAATCGTTGGATTGAGCTCCCCTACTTAATTTTTCCTAATTCGAGCACTGAATATTACTGTCTGTGTCTGTAATAGAAAGTCAGTTATACAGGTTGAAATATATTGGAATACCTATGTGTTTGCTGGGATAAAGATCTTTTTGTCATTGAGAGAGGTGTCTATTATATACAGATCCCAGGTACAAGTTAAGTCAGGTTCACTGTAAATAATAATATCTATTTCCTATAGACTTTACATACTCTCAAATCCCATTGAGTAATAGCACCATCTTCATGTCCAGTAATGATTGTATGGTCCAATGTACCCCAAATTAAAGAAGTCACTTTGGAATCTGGCACAGTCATTCTCAAAATTGGGTTACTGCTTTCTATAACATAATGATTAAAATGATTAAATATATATATTATTTGTATTTAATAAATACATTTTAAATACAGTATTTAGATAATATAATTAAGGTAAGTACTAATTATTTTCATATTACAAGCAATATATTTAAGTGATCTACAAATAAGAAGATAATTATATTGAATACATTAAAAGTATAAATTATTATTTTCTTTTTAATAATATAAATTCTTTATTATATGAGTCATGAACCTATTTACTATTTGTATATTCAGTTTATGCTCAAAAAATTTTCACAATAAGCAGGACTTCTCTAGTGATCATACTTAAGATAATTTTATTTGTTTTAAATTATAAACCATGTAAATCTAAATTAATTCGTTTCTAAATTGTTTAATCTTTACTTTACTTTTATATTTTACATGTTATTAAGTGTAAATGTACCTAATTATTTTATTATCTTATACGCTATAATAAATTAATAATTATTGAATTAGTTAGAGTAAATCAATAAATTCCCAACTTAATATAAAAAATAATAAAATTTTTAATTTAATTGTTATAATTAATAGGTTCAAATGTTATATATTTATTTGGAAAAAGTAACTTACTAAAAGATTCGTCATCTCGAGCATCAACTATAAATATTTCACAATCTTGTTTCATAGCTTGATCTGTTGAGTAGCTGGCAAGATCCGCTGAGTAACTGAAAGAGCATGTACGCACAGCTGAATTACTACTAATATTACCGATCTCCACACCTGAAAATATGTTTTAAAAATTATTTACCTACTTTTAAGCTATTAAATGAAAGTTCCAATATCATTACCAGTAGCAACATCCCAAAGCCTTAAGGTGTTGTCAGCAGCACCGGACAAAAATTTAGTGGTTTTCCAATCGACGTCAATACACCATACAGCTCCAGTATGGCCAATGTATGTGCCAAGACGCTCTCCGTTCAAAGAATACCAAACGTTTGGTGTTACGTCCTTAGCAGACGAGAACAATAAATCCCCCTCTCTGTTGTATTTAATTTGAGTAATGGCACGCTCGTGCCCTTGTAACATTAAAGGTTTCTATACAACAAAATAAAAAATATTTAAAATAAATGTCTCTTTAAAGACAATGTAAGCAAAAGCAATGAGCGCCGAACAGTACTTACCATGGTGAACGGGTGAAGTGATTTTTTACAATTATATTTAAAATATTTATAACTGTAAAGCCGTGTTCACAGCTACGCCGTCTGCCGCGTTCGTACTTCGTCTTCGTGTATGGTGTACTGGTGTCCAAAAATTGAGATCATTCCATCTTTGAAAATTTCCCGGTAGATTATGATCCATGGTTAGTAAATGATAACATGGTTACAACGGCCAATCAGAATACGATAAGAGCACACGACACGACATACGACGTAGCAGCAACTGCTGTGAAAGTGTGAACCCGACTTGAACATTGGAAGTTCACTTCACTTCACTTCACTCTGTGAAACGAGTAAACGACAGCACACGTATTGAAGGAAAATGAATAAACAAAGCTTCGAAAGAGTAATAACCGGAAAATCACGTGATGGCGCGTGACAGCGTCCGATGATAAGGTGTGAATAAATTATAAATACGTATTTCCACAGATATATATAAATATTTTTATATATCTGTGCGTATTTCGCAGTTTCGTACATGCGTATGAAATATGAATTATTCGAGTACTTAACCAATAACCGTTTATAGCCGGGCATAGATACCGTCTGGGTCTGGTAATGGCCAAACCAAACCGGACAAGTCGGACAACATCTGGATACAATTTTACAATAGCCAAACGAATAAATGATAATAGTTTTCACGTAAAATGTATTAATGGTTCAATATGAGCCCGACCGAAATCAGGCAATTTAAAAAATTAAATTTCTAGACTCCTTTGAATGCTCCCTTCCACGGAAATCTTTAGTAAAAGGCGAAAGATTTTTTCGTATTGAAAGGGAACCGGAGTTAATTTAGAGAAGGTTCTGAGAGGCTTAAGTACACTTTACGTACTGCACAACATTATGAGAGTCCACCAAACAAGCGTTACCAAAACACAGTATACTGTATATTTGCGTAAAGTAAAACTGTGATTTAAGCATAGAATAATTGCTTGTATTATGAACAAATATTACATATTCGAATATAAGTTGTCTATTACTTTTGATGGGAAACTCATTGGATTCTTAATGGAAAATGTTCATCATTCTAAAGACGATGTGATTCCACGCCATCTACCGGATGTAAAGTTGACTATTGTATCTACTACAAGACGTTTATTTTAATGTTGTTTTTATCCGCTTCAATAGAAACATTCAAACCGCTGACGTATAATACGCCTGTGATTCAAACATATTAAATAAATAAGAGAAATATCTAAACGCTCTTAACTCTTTAAGTTCTCTCATATAATTTATTATATATTTATATCCATGATTTTTCTACACTATATTTTTATTTTTCATATTGTCAGTAAAAGTTGTACATAGGCTGATAGGCACATTTACTATTTATAACAGTAAAACAGCTCAAGATATTATTCATTATGAATAAATTAAATATATTCAAATAATATATTAATGATATGAATATTATATAGAAAAATAAGAAATTAATATTAAAATTCTTTCTCAGATGAAAAATAGTCAATAGACAAAGCAACTTAAACTATGAAGAAGTAACAGACTCAACCACAAAATAAACATAAACTTAAACAAATCCATCGGACCAAACATATCGTGGACCAAGGGCCCCCACAGGAGGTAAGGGACCATTACTCCATCTGATAATTTTAACTGATGTACTTTATTATCAATATCATAACATAATTTTAGATTATAAGTAACTCTGATAATAAATCTTGCCCAGGGCGGGATTTTATCCTGCGGGAACGCTTGGATAGGACCCGCAAATTTAGCAATAATATTCTTCCAATGTGTGTATAAATATATTTAAAAAAAAAATAATAATCTAATCTTTGTATAAAAATGTGGGAAAACAATGGCCTTAGCTGCTAAAGTTTCAGATTAATAAAAAAAAAAACAGTTGGGTATTATTTTTATTTTCTGGCATCAATAAAATATTATACATTAGCCATAATAGTAGGTTCAAGGTAGGTAAATCTTTTAGTACCTACAGAAGTTAGTACTTTATAGTTTATACCCCAAATATAGAATTGCTTATTGTAGTCAGTTAAAATATTAATTTTAACCATTTATAATATATTTAAACCTGCACTAACAAAGTACAGTAATAGGTACATACCTACTAATCACTAATGTATTTATGAATTAAAAGTTAATTTACTGTTAACAATATTATATTAGTAAGACATATTTGTAGAATAAAATATATACACATTCGTTATTTAAAATATTGTTTACATATTCAACACAATTTCAATTTTTAAGTACATCCCATTTCCATATAACTAAAGATTATACTTATAATAACAAAACCTTAGATCATATACAAGGTATGTAGCTATGGCCTATAGATAACATATCATATAAACTAAGTACAATTTAGCGACGAGTCATCTGGTAAGTGGCCTCTATTGTGCGCTACCGACTAGTCTCATATTTATCTCAACATATTATATTTTATTCTTATCCATTATTCAGATTTCAGTTTATTACCTATTCAATTCAAGTTAATAATAATGTTTAACTAAAATGTTCATTATTAATTATTAGAAATTCTAAGGATTTAAAATAGGTAGTAAAATAAACCCACCAAGAAGCATAAAATAATATATAAATATGTTTTTATCATGACAAAATAATTAGGTATCATATTTATGGTCAAAAATAAATGTAGAAATAATAATTATTGTATAAAATGTATAAATTTGTTTTTACCAAAAGGGTTGGATAGATTATTTTTGGTATTATAATCAGCTATTGATTTTTAAATAATATGAGTTTTGTATAATTTCTCCTTATGATTTTCCTTGTACTTTGTTGTGTCTTGTGTGCATAGGTTTACATGGTGTGGTGCATTCTTAATTCTATATAGTATTATGATATAAATCTTAGTTCAAAACAGTATTGTTATTAGAATAGAAAAAAAGTAGTTAGTATAGTATACCAAAAAAAGTGATGTTTATTAATTTGTAAATTCACAACACATGATAATTTTTCAAAAAAATAACAAACATAATTCATAATTAAACATAACATGGTAATAAAAAAAATGATCATATTATGTATTAAATATTAATACATTGATCAAAAAATAGGTATTTAACTTATAGACCCGAAAGGGCCGTCAATTTACGGCCCAGCCCGGTCCAACAATTTTTTTTTGAAGCCCAACCCGGTCAGTGAATCAGTTCATATCAGATTGCTTAATTTTAAATTTAAATATTTTATTTTATTTTGTTGTTGAATAATTTTATATTTAGCTTTGGTGAAATTATATTTTGCTTTCCTCAGAGTGGCAAAATCTGGTAAAAGTAGTTGCATCATCTATTTCTGAGGCTTTTGTTTAGGAGTATCTAAAATCAAATAATATTAATGGTATGTGATAAACGATAATTATAAATAATAAACCACATTTTGTATTAAGTTTAATATTATAGACTATAGTGAGTAGTGAATCTATTGTAAAAATTAAGGATAAGAATATTATCTAGATTCTACTGCATCTCATAGGCTTTTATTAATATTTAACTTTAAAGCAAGTTGTGATCATTTTTAACTGTAATATTACATAGTTATAAGTTATAATTTATAACTTATAAACTTATATCTAGCTTACAAATTAGATATCAATAAAAGCCTATGCGATGCCATAGATAATATTCTTAGGTAGGTTACCTTTAAATTTGATTATAATAGACAATTCATTCTTATAATAAATTTATGTTTTTATTACCAACTATCAATTTGAGAATTTTCCATCTCAATGTTTGATATATAAGCAGCCTCCTTGCAAATGTGGTATGTCAATAACTCAGGTATCTTACACGAGGAGCTTTTTATTTTGCTTGTAATAATACTACGAGGAGACCTAACAGTTTGTACATTGCTTGACCCAGCTAAGAGCTAGGAGCTGCTTCATCAGTGATCAGTGACAATTGTAAGTTCTGATGATTCTAAGGACCGCTGATCTTTGGAACCTTCGAAGAATTGTCCTGAACTTGGCCGTGGCATTGACTGAGCTTGCCCAAACTGGAGTGGCATACAAGACTTGGCTCTAGACCACTGAGCTGAGTAGCCTCCTCTTCCATTGACTGAGACTGCTCGAGAATGAAGTCAAGATACCCAATTTGGTTGCTCATACAACTAGATCAGCAGTTCCCAAAATGTGATGACCACTGCACCCTTAGGAAAAAGTTCCATGTTTTGTGAAACCCTAATGTCTGTAAAATTAATATTTTATAGCAATATTATACTTGTAAGTATTATATAGGTGAACTTTTATTTCCAAGTATAATATAAAATAATATTATCAATATTCACATACATTTGGTGGAACCCTTGAGATTGTCCCACGGAACACAATTTGGATATCGCTGGTTTAGACTGAGCCGAGGAGGGTAGTATGTCTACCTTTTCGTTAGCATGACTGCAACCATCTTGTGGTGAGCCAGCTGTAAGACATGACTCATCATCCATCTGTCTACTCCTGTAAAAACTGAGTACCCGTAGGAACTGAATATGGTTTTTAAATTTTCAATTAAGTCCTAGTTTAGGAACAATGTTTGTCGAAATGGAGTAAACAAAGTTATCCAGAAGGCTTAAAATCTTCTTCAGCGAAACCACAAACTATAAGCCACAGAGATAGTTTGGACATATCTTTGGAAAATCTAAACAATCAATACAAATAGAAATTAAATAAAAGAAAAAAAGTGTAGTAGTATTCACAATTTTATATGCTAGGTGATCTATTTAAGTGAACATTCATTATTTGTAAAAGTATTTTGAAAATATTTTTTTTATATAATTGTATGTCATGTAAAAACTAAAAACAACATTTCTTAACAAAAATTATATTTTTTATTTTTTTATCGTTATATTTTTTGAAAGACCATACATTTTTAATCCCATGTTTTGAAGCTGAATCTAAAAGTAATAAAAATCAAATTTTTGGACATGTAGTTTATCAGTTATAAGTATTTATATTTTAGATGAGCGGAGTAATG